TTAAAACTATTTAACCAAGTTTTAAGAGTGCATTAATTATACTACAAATAATTGTTTATTAAATATTATTAATTTAAATAAAAAGAGGAAGATTTTTATTTATTATGAATTTTCTACTACTCTGTAATTATTTTGTTAAATATTTAATTAAACTTGAGTGTTTTCTTTTATCTAAGTGAATTTTATAAAGTTAATTAATGTCATATTTGTTATGTTTACAGCAGGTTTATCTTTTAACCAGTTTTATTTAATTTTTATAAATTTTATAATTTATATATCAGAGAAGAGATGCAAAGTTTTTGGTTGCAACTAAATGAATTTAACTACATACAAAGTGATTTAAAAAATTTGCTTAACGTGACCAACTAAATAGCAAATCAACCGATGATAAACACTAAAGGTTTTACTTTTTCAAAACAACTGTTTTCATTAAGAAGAAGCCCAAAAAAAATCGTTTCAAAGTTTTCTAGAAAACTTCTTGAAATTCTCCATATAAATGTGACAAAGCTTTTTTTAATAAGCTCCTCACAGTTTCTTCAGAAACTTATCAAAATCATCTCAAAGTTATCTGAAGTAAAATTTTAAAGTTTTATAAAGAAACTTGCTAAAAAGTTATCTAATGAAACTTCAAAGTTTTCTATAAAATCTTCTCCAAATATTCTCAAAAAAAACTTTTTAAAGTTTTACAAAAAAAACTTTTCAAAGTTTTTTAATGTTTTCTAAAGAAACTTATCAAAGTGTTTTGAAGAATTTCTTAAAGTTTTGTAAAGAAACTATAGAAACTTTTCAGTTTTCTAAAGAAACTTGTTAAAGCTTTCTATAGAAACTTCTCAGTTTTCTAAAGAAACTTATTCAGATTTGCTAAAGAAGCTTATGCAAGTTTTCTAAAAATGTTTGAAAAACTTTTCAGAAATTTCTAAAAAACCTTACAAAGACTTTTGAAAGTTTTCTAACGAAACTTTTCAAAGTATTCTAAAGAAATTTTTAAACTTTTAATTAAACTTCTTAAAATTTTCTTTAGAACTTTTAAATGTATTCTAAAGAAAGTTCTCAAAGGAAAATTTCGAATGTTTTCTAAAGAAACTTTTTAAAGTTTTCTAATGAATGTTTTAAAAGTTTTTTAAAGATTTCTGAAGAAACTTGCCAAAGTTTTTAAAAGAAACTTGACAAAGTTTACTAAAGAAACTTGTCAAAGTTTTATAAAGAAACTTGTCACAACTTGTCAGAACTTTATAAAGATGCTTTTCAAAGTTTCCTAAAGAAATTTCTTAAACTTTTCAAAGTTTTCTAAAAAAGAAACATTCCAAAGCGTTTTTATAAGTTTTGTAAAGAAATTTTCTGAACAAATTTATCAAAGTTTTGTAAAGAAACTTTTCAAAGCGTTCTTATTAATGTTCTCAAAGTTTTGTAAAGAAATTTTCTAAACAAACTTTTCAAAGTTTTCTAAAGAAACTTCTCAACGTTTTCGAAAGAAACTATTCAACGCGTTCTTATAATGTTCTCAAAGTTTTGTAAAGAAAATTTCTAAACAAACTTTTCTAAAGAAGGGTTTCTCCAGTTTCTTTGGAAATACAAAATTTTGTAAATAAATTTTCTAAACAAACTTTTTAAAGTTTTCTAAAGAAATATCTCAAAGTGTTTTTAAAGAAACTTTTCGAAAGAAACTTCTCTAAGTTTTCTAAAGAAACTTTTAAAACTTCTCAAAGTTTTTATATAAAAATAAACTTTTGAAAGCGTTTTTATGAATGTTTTCAAACCTTTGTAAAGTAGTTTTCTAAATAAGTTTTTGGATTTTTTTAAGAAACTTCTGCGTTTTTTATTAACGATTTATAAATACATTTTTTAAACAAGCTTTTCAAAAAAAACTTTTCAAAGTTTCCTAAAGAAACTTTTCAAAGCATTCTTATGAATATTTTCAAAACTTTCAAACGAAATTTACTAAACAAACTTTTCGAAGTTTTCTAAAGAAACTTCTTAAAGTATTCTTAAAAAATTTCTTTAAGTTTTCTTCTGAATGTTTTCTGAAGAAACTTTTAAAGTTTTCTGAAGAAACTTTTAGAGTTTTCTAAAGAAACTTTTAAAAATTTAGCAAGTAAATTTCCTAAACAAACTTCTCGAAGTTTTCTAAATTAATTCCTCAAAGTATTTTAAAGAAACTTCTCAAAGTTTTCTAAAGAAACTTTTCAAAGTTTTTTTATAAAGAAACTTTTCTGAATAAAGTTAGCTATATAAACTTTTCAAAGTTTTGTTTTTTTTTTTTCGTTGGTCACGTTTAGTTTTAATTTTACTGCTAGTACCCATCCATTGACTATAATGTTGGCGATGTTGATCATAATGACGATGATCTCAACTTGCGTCAAGACGTGATTATAGTGTCAGTCATGATCATAATTATTTGCACCATTAGTTAAGTTGTTGTGTGTGGATGTTAATTTTTTGTGTAGACAGTAGCACTTATTAACAATTAATAGCGGTAGCAATAACAAATAACGACTTAAAACACCATTTACAAAAAGTTTAAAAGTAAAAAAAAGTAAATTTTTTCGAAATTATTTAAAGAAAAATAGTTTCAGTTAATTTTTTAAAATTTTGTTTGTAAATGGTGTTTGATTCTAAATATAATGCAATAAAATATTTATTTGCTGCTTAAAGCATAATTATTTTCAAATTAAGCAATTAACAAATTGCAGTTGTTTTTTTTTTTTTAATAAAAAGTAAAATTATAAAAATATAAATAAATAAAATTGTTAGTGGGCTTTTAATATGGTGTAATTTTACGAATTTTTATTATTGTTAAAAAAATTATTAATAAATTTAATGGTACATGGCGCGCTCTATAAACTCCACTGTAGGATGTAAAAAAATAATTAAGGATAACAGTGTGTGTGTATGTGTGTGGTTAACTTGATTATAAAATGGCGTTTAATGTTCCGTTACATTTTGAGATGCTCTTTTGCTTAGTTGTTTTAATGTGTATATGTGTTTGTAAGTGCGGATGTATGTTGTTTTATAAATTTTTAACCTCTTGCTGCTGCTGTTAATTAAACATAAAATAAAAATTAATTATATTATTCAATATAGCAAATTAAAAATATAAATAAAATTATTTAACAAATAATAATTATGATAAATTGTAAAATATTGCACTATTTTATTATAAAGCTTTTAAAAAATTTCATTCACTGAGTTGGTTGTTTGTTTTTAAAATTAGTGCTTTTCTAACTACATGGTGCTTTTTTATATTTAGTTAATTTTATTAAATAATTTTGTGTTTTATCTTTTGTTAAGAGTGTTTAATTTAAATTTAAAATTTTTAATAGAATTACTTTGTTGGGGTGGCACAAAACCATAGCCAGAGGCTCCTACAATCACACCACTGGATTCATCAATTGCGTCTGGTGGAGATGGGGGGAAGACAACGGGTCCTATAAAGTATAATAGTAAAAAATTAGTTAATATTTTCAAATAAGTTTCCTAAGTTTTCCAAAGAAACTTTTCTAAGCTTTCTAAGGAAAACTTTCAAAGTTCTCTAAAGAAAACTTTCAAAGTTCTCCAAAGAAACTTTTCTAGGGTTTTGGAGGAAAATTTTCAAAGTTTTCTAAAGAAACCTTTCTTTTTTATGTAAAGAAACTTCTCAGTTTTCATAGTTTTCCAAAGAAAGTTTTCTAGAGAGACTTTTTAAAGCTTTCTACAGAAACTTTCTAAAGTTTTCTAGATAAACTTTTTAAAGTTATCTAGAGTAACTTTTCTAAGCTTTTCTAAGAACTTTCAAAGTTCTCTAAAGAAATTTGTCTTTTTTTTTGTAAAGAAACTTCTTAGAGTTTTGTAATGACATTTCTCAGAGTTTTCCAAAGACACTTTTCAAAGTTTTCAAAGAGAGTTTTCTAAAAACAACTTCTCATAGTTTTCCAAAGGAACTGTTTAAAGTTTTCTAGAGAAACTTTTCAAAATTTTCTAAAGAAATATTTCAAAGTTCTCTAAAGAAACTTCTCGAAGAATTCTGAAGAAATTTTTAAATGTTTTCTAAAGAAACTTCTCAGAGTTTTTCTAAAGAAACTTCTCTGAGCTTTCTAAAGAAACTAAACTTTTTCCTAAGAAACTTTTTTACAGATTTCTAAAGGAACTTCTCAAAGTTTTCTTAAGAAACATATCAAAGTTTTCTAATTAAGCTGCTTAAAGTTTTCTAAAGAAAATCTTCTTATTTTTGTAAAAAAACTTCTCAGGGTTTTCTAAAAACTGTTCATAGTTTTACAAAAGAATTTTTAAAGTTTTCTAGAGAAATTTTTCAAAAGAAATTTTTCAATGTTCTCTAAAGAAATTTCTCAAAGTTTTCTGAAGAAATTTTTAAATGTTTTCTAAAGAAATTCTTCTTATTTTGTAAAGAAACTTCTCAGAGTTTTCCAAAGAAACTTTTCAAAGTTTTCTAGAGAAACTTTGCAAGTTCATGAAGTTTTCTAAAGAAACTTTGCAAAGTTCTGTAGAGAATTTTTTCAAAGCTTTCTAAAGAAACTTCTCAAAGTTTTCTGAAGAAATTTATTAAAGTTCTGTAAAGAAACTGTTCAAAGTTTTCTAAAGAAACTCCTTTTATTTTTGTAAAGAAACTTCTCATAGTTTTCCAAAGAAACTTTTTAAAGTTTAAAAAAATATATTTTTCAAAGCTTTCTAGAGAAATTTCTCTAAAGAAGCTGTTCAAAGTTCTTAAGAAACTTTCGATGTAAACTAAAGAAAACTTTTCTAAAGAAACTTTTCAAAGAAATTTCAAATGAAAGCTATTCAAAAAGCTAAAATTTATAAATAAAGAATGAAGCTTTCACATATAAAAAAGTTAAATAAAATACATTATACAACTTACCTCTATTTTGTCTAGGATCTCTCACTTGTGTGGGTTGTGGGAAATCCAAGGTATTGAAATTGATTTGTCTGTTGGGCAAAGGGCCGAATAAGAAATTTTGGCCAGCAACCAAAACTAAAGAAGTGCAGATGGCAAATACGATCATTAACTAAAATGGTAAATAAAAAACAAGATAAGTTTAATACATTTAAACAATAGGGAAATAACCAGACTTTGCTTTTAATTGTTTAATAAAAAATCCACCAGAAAAAAAACATACTTTCCTTAAAATGACAAAAAACAGCAAATCATTCATTTATTTAAAAAACAAAACTACCAACAACACTTTTCACCAAATTTATTACTTTAAAAACTTCATTAATCATTCACTCATTTGAAGTGTTTTAATGATAAATTTTGTGGAAAATCATTTAACAATCATCACTTTAACCTCAAGTTCAGCCCTTTAGTAAAGCAACCATTTATTAAACTATCGGCGTTTAATAACATCAACTACTTCTACTGCTACTTTTTGGCCTCTTTGAACCGTTTGGCCAAATCAACCAACCCACCAGCCTCTTACGGCTTTTTCAAATAATTTGAAAATAAAACGTAACCTGCCACTTAAGGCTTCCGCATTTGAAAGTTAAGTCAAGACTATGCACAACACTTTAGGAAACCTTGAAATATACTTTCCCAAACTCATGCCTTTAAAGCAAAAAATAAAAATCTATAAAAGATATTTATAAACATTTAAGAAATTGCTTTAACAATAACAACTATTATTTATGAAAATAAATTGAATTGAACTTCAACTTTAGTTTGGATTTATACTATTTGAGTGTTAACGTAAAGTTAAGATTTAAATATTGTTGCAGGGGTTTTTATTGGAAAAAAAGCATTAAGTTTTAATAATATTTTATAAAGATATTATTTATGATTTTAATTATTTTATGGCAAAAATACACTTAAAAGAATAATAATGTTTAGAAAGCAACATGTTTATAAACATTGTTGAATTTATAACTAAGAACATGTTGCAAATAAAATTTAAGAATAATTTTTTCTAAATTTCTTGTAAATTTCTAAAAGTGTATTTTATAACTTTAAGAAAACTAAACGTTTAATTCCAAAAAAACCTAAAAAAAACGTACCAAATGTTGTTGCTTAAATGAACAACATGTTGCACCAATGATTGTCCCAAAAAATCGACAACAAATACTAAGAAAAACAATTATTAATGAATAAACGTTAGTAAGAAAACAATGATAAGTACTAAATAGATAAAATTATGGCTCATAAAAAAAACTCCAAGACTGGTCAACTTTAATAACATTCACTTTTAGAAGGGGGTGTTACAAATACATTTTTTTCCTTTGCAACAGACCCAAATAGTTTCAACTTAACTTACAATTACAACCAAATGTTTTAATTTTTTGCTAAAACAAAAAAAAACACTTCCTTGTTAATAGTTTTTATTTAGAGGAAAAGTTACGAAAAAAAAAATGAACTAGATAAAAGTTTTTAGATAATAGTATTAGACAAGAGTTTAAATACTTAAGTTATAGATCAGTGTAAGTGTTGAAAGTTTAATTGTGTAATTTTTTGTTTAAATTTAAAGGCTTTTTATAGAAACGGGAAGAATAATAAGAAAATTTTTGAAATTCTAAAAATTGATGGTAAATAAAAATGTTGCTAGCAACATGTTGATAATGTAGTCTTGCGCTTAGCAACATGTCGAGACTAGTAAACACACTAGTTAATACACTAGTCAGGAGACTAGTCAATACACTAGTAAACAGACTGGTCAACTGGCTAGTTCACAGTTTAATCAATAGCCTAGTAAACAGATAAGTCCATTGACTTGCCAACAGACTAGCCAAAAGACTAATCAACAGAGTAGTCAATAGACCTGTCAATAGACTAGTCCATAGACTAGTTAGTGGAATAGGTAATAGTCTGTTGTAAACAGACTACTCAATAGACTAGTAAACAAACTAGTTAATACTTAGAGTAGTCAAGGGGCTAGTCAATATATTTGTCCATAGAATAGTCCATAGACTACTCAAGAGACTAGCCAATAAACTAATTAATAGAATAGTCAATAGACTAGACAATAGACTAGTCAATAGCCTAGTTAATAGACAAGTCAGTAGAATAGACAAATCATTACATTAGTTAATAGACTAGTCAGTCTTTAGTCCATAGATATGACTAGTCTATGGACTTGTGTATAGACAAGTCAATAGACTAGTGATAGACTATTCCAAAGACTAGTTCATAGACTAGTCATCAGACTACTCAATATACTAGTCAGTCTATAGTCTGCAGACAAGTCAATAGACCAGTCAGTAGACTAGTTAATAGACAAGTCAGTAGAATAGTCAATAGACAATTCATTAGACTAGTCAATAGACTAGTCAGTCTATAGTCCATAGATTAGTTAATAGACAAGTCAGACTAGTCAAGATACTAGTCAATATACCAGTCTATAGTCAATAGACAAGTCAGTAGAATAGTCAATAGACATGTCAGTAGAGTAGTCAATAGACTCAAGAAAGTCAAGAGAACAGCCAAGAAACTAGTCAATAGCTGAGTCAATAGACAATTCAGTGGAATAGTCAATAGATAACTTATAAGACTATAGTCAATAGTCTAGTCCAGAGACTAGTTCATAGACTAGTCCATAGACTAGTTCATAGACTAGTCCATAGACTCAATAGACTAGTCAGTATATAGTCTATAGACTAGTCAATAGACAAGTCAACAGATAAGTCAATAGACCAGTTAATAGACTAGTTAATAGATAAGTCAGTAGAATAGTCCATAGACAACTCATTAGTGAATAGCCCATGGACAAGTCAATAAACTAGTAATAGACTAGTCAATAGACTAGTCAATAGACTAGTCAACAGACTAGTCAGTGGACCAGTCAACAGACTAGTCAGTGGACCAGTCTATAACCAATGGACCAGTCAAGAGACAAGTCAGTAGAATAGTCAATAGACTAGTCAGGAGACAAGTCAATGGACTAGTCAAGAGACAAGTCAGTAGAGTAGTCAACAGACCAGTCAGTAGACTAGTCAACATACTACTCAATAGACTAGATAACAGACTGGTCTATGGACTACTTCACAGTCCAGCCAAGCCTGGCTCATAGGCTTGTCAATATACCGTTGAAATGACTAGACAGTAGACTAGTTAATAAACTAATCAATAGACTAATAAAAATAATAATTTATTAAATTCTTATAAAAAATCTCGCTATAATTTCCGTTTAAAGAAAAAAAATCAAGCCTGATTCTTTGTTAAGAAAACTAACACTTCTAACTTTAGTTAAAAATATTAAACCAAGAAAAAAATCCCACTAATTTATAGAGACATTAATGTCCACTCTGCCAAGTTAAAAGTCATAACTTAATGTTAATGTTTATTATTTATAAATAAATTACTATATTCCATAAATAATTTATAACAATTAAAACAAGCCCAAGTATCACGTTTTATTTTTAATTTTTTTTCTTATTTTTACAACCGGAGATAAGCTTAGTAACACAAAAAAAGTCATAAAAAAGATATAATAAAAATAAAATTATGACTAATTTTTAAGAAAATTAAACAAACAAGGAAATGTTTAGACAAAAAACAAAAACAATTTGAAAAATTCCATTACTATAGGGCAGATATTTAAAAAACAATAAATGAATGAATGATTTTTTTTTATTGAAAATAATGTTTAAATTTGTACGCCACATGTAGTTGCATGGTTTAAGTATTGTATTTGTAGATATAGATCGATTTTTTTAAATCAAAATGCATTTAAAATTCTTGGTTTTTTATTGTATCTATGTAATGCATATTTAAAGTTTTAAGTGTATTAGTGAAGGCATTTTTTAACTTTAAATAATTTATCAGCATTTAATCATAAAAAAATCTATTTAAAAAGAACATTTAACAAGCATTTTAGAGTGGGTGGGTGTTTAAAGAAAATTAACATTAATACACCTAGAGAAACAATTTCAAAAATTCAACAATATTATGCTAAATTTAATCATATCTCTATTTGTTGCAACCATATTACATTAAATTCAAATGGCTACCGTAATCGTAATATATGACTTACAACAATAAAACTGAAAGTATACTTGGTTACTGTAATCATTTAACTGGAGGATTTAACATATTATGGTTAAGACAATTAAAAATATGATGACTGTGAGCTCTCAATGATTGCTGTAACCATTTTTAACTACATTTTGATTCAATTTTATAGTATTGATAATATTCGAAAAAATTTCTAGTTTAATGTTTTAAAGATTTAACTTTCACTTTGGGAATATTCACGAATAAAAATGATTCAATAAATTTTTGGAATAAAAACGATTCTAAAAATTCTGGGAATAAGAACCAAATTTGTTCTTTTATGTTTTGAGTTCTAATCTAGTTCAGTTCTAGTTCAGTTCTAATTCAGTTCTAGTTCAGTTCTAGTTCAGTTCTAGTTCAGTTCTAGTTCAGTTCTAGTTCAGTTCTAGTTCAGTTCTAGTTCAGTTCTAGTTCAGTTCTAGTTCAGTTCTAGTTCAGTTCAGTTCTAGTTCAGTTCTAGTTCAGTTCTAGTTCAGTTCTAGTTCAGTTCTAGTTCAGTTCTAGTTCAGTTCTAGTTCAGTTCTAGTTCAGTTCTAGTTCAGTTCTAGTTCAGTTCTAGTTCAGTTCTAGTTCAGTTCTAGTTCAGTTCTAGTTCAGTTCTAGTTCAGTTTCTAGTTCAGTTCTAGTTCAGTTCTAGTTCAGTTCTAGTTCAGTTCTAGTTCAGTTCTAGTTCAGTTCTAGTTCAGTTCTAGTTCAGTTCTAGTTCAGTTCTAGTTCAGTTCTAGTTCAGTTCTAGTTCAGTTCTAGTTCAGTTCTAGTTCAGTTCTAGTTCAGTTCTAGTTCAGTTCTAGTTCAGTTCTAGTTCAGTTCTAGTTCAGTTCTAGTTCAGTTCTAGTTCAGTTCTAGTTCAGTTTTAGTTCAGTTTTAGTTCAGTTCTAGTTCAGTTCTAGTTCAGTTGGAAACACCTTTCTATAAAATTTCCCCAGTGTACATAATTTAATTCCTTAATAGACCAGACCGAACTTGTTCAACAAAATCACTTCACTTTAAAGCTGAAGTCCATTCAAGTCTTTTTAAAAAAGTTAA